CAAGCTGATCAAGCGCATCTGCTCGCTCACTTGCTGAAACAACGGGGCCAGCTCAGGCGGTTCGAGACGCCCGCTTCCCCATCGTGGGCCGACTCGCCGCCTCCTGCGGCCCCGCCGCTCTCCGCGCCCAGGGCCCGACAGCCGTCCGTCGACGGCGTCCGAAGCGAAGCGTCGCGAGAAAAAGCGCCGACCATCCGCCCGACGGCGGCAACTCTCGGACAACGGGCCAGGGCCGCGCAGGTCTGCCTCAGCTGGCTCCCTGCTGGGCTGGCTGACACCTGCTCGCCCCCACTACTTGGCTCGTCGCCGCCTGCGTCGCTGCTCTCAGCGCCCCGAAGCATGATGCCGTCCGTCGAACGGGCCATTTGGGGGGTGTCACAGGAGGCGGCGGCCCCTGGGCATCGGCCACCCGCCCGCCGGAGGCAACTCCTGGACATCGGGCCGGGGGCGCGCGGGCGTGCCTCTGCTGGCTCCCCGCTGGGCTGACAGCCTCCTGCGCGCCGGCTGTGCGCTGACGTGCCCTCCACTGCGCGCGCGGGCCCGTGGCCGAGAAACTGGGGTCGTGCCGCGCATCGTCGAACCTGCGGTCAGGCCGCGCCCTGGCCACGCTGAAACTCAGCTCGGGTCCACGGCCCTCCTGCTGTCGGACCCTGGAGGAGCAGTCTCAGCAGGAGTAGCACCTGCAGCCCCAGACGCGGGGGCGCCCTGGGCTGCGGCGGCCGCGGCGGCAGCCTGCTCGGCTGCCCTTTCGGCCTCCTTCGCGGCTGCGGGAAGGGCCCCCGCGAGCTGTTGCCCGCTGGCTCCGAGCTGCTCCAGCCCGAGGCTTGGCAGCTTGAGCTCCTCGTGGAGCATCTGGCCGAGGGCTTCGAGGTTCCCAACCGCAGCCATGCTCTCCATGGGGTCTGGCTGCACTACATCCTGGATCTTCTTGGTCTGCGCCATCTTCTGGAGCTCTGCCAGCTTGGCCTGGTGCTCACGCAACTGCCGCAACTCTTCGTCGTACTCATGCTGCGCCCATGCCAGGAGCTCCGCCTTGTGGGCCACACGGGCCTCGCTATTCTCGCACTGCTTGCGTTTGTCGGCGACCCGCTGCAGCACCTGCGTGAGCGGCTTCGTCGACAAGTCCACGGGCGCAGGGGCCTGAGGCTCTGCGGCCGCTGGCTGCTCCGACGAGAAACCCTCCTTGCCCACAACCCATAGCTTCTTGTCGGCCAGCGCCAGGAGCTCCGCCACGCCCAGGCCGTCCAGCGCAGGCTTCCCACCTGTTTTCCGCGTGTCGGCGAAGTTGGCGGCCCAATGCTTGTCGCTGTCCCACTTCCTCGGCTTTGGCGGCTTCGCATTCGGTTTGGGTTTTGCCTTGGGCTGGGGCGTCGGCAAACCGCCTCCGCCTCCAGCCACGGCACGGCCAGGGGGGGACCACGGCGCAGCGCCACGCGTGAGACCGAAGTCCTTGTGCATAGCCAGGACCCTGGGCGGCGCGCTGGCACCGCAGGACCTGCACCTGGCACGAGACCAGTTATTGGGGCAGTTGCCGCAGCCCCCCTGACATGTCCATTGCATCTCTCTCGGTCGAGCTCGCTCCCAAGGCGCACCATCGCGTGGTGCCATGGGCCAAGCGGGTTCGTCGTGGCGATTGGTTCGCACCCACGAGCCGTTTCGAAGCACGAGGGTGCAACCTCAAGCTTGCGCGCAATAGCACCACTGCCCGAACCGAAACGGCGAGGAGGAGGAGGAGAAGGAGGAGGAGGTGGAGGTGGACGTGGGAGTGGAGGGAGGAAAAGGAGGAGGAGGAGGAGGAGGAGGAGGAGGAGGAGGAGGAGGAGGAGGAGGAGAAGGAGAAGGAGGAGGAGGAGGAGGAGGAGGAGGAGGGGAGGGCGGCGCACGCTGCCCCACTTTCGCCCCCGCCGCCCACCCACGGGAGCCTCAAGCTCGAGGCTGGGCGCTCCTCTCCCCCTTCTCTCTTCGCGGGCGGTCGCTGTCGTCCCCCCCACCCTTGCTAGCGAGGGCCCCCCTCGCCCCCAAAGGGAACCAGGGGGCCGTCCCCTCGGACTGTGTTTCGAGCAGGGCTCCAGATGAGCCTTCTGCAGCGCCCGCCCCCCCCCCCCTCTCCGTTTTCTAGTTTTCAAGGCCCCCGGGGGGCGCCCCGCAAGCCTCTGCGAGTCTGCGAGGGCAGGGACCCGCATCCATATGCTCGCAAAGGCACTCCATAGTTGACGGCGCTCTGTATAGGGGCTGCCGCTTGGACTCGCCTCCACCGCGCTCAACCTTAACCTCCAGCTCATTCTGCAAGCCTGCCCTGGCCTCCTGCCACCTCACTCCCTGTCGCCGATCAATCGGCGACGCATCGTCGATTCCAGGTAGGTGCTTCACCCCTGAGCCAGTCTCGCCCCCACAGTCAGCGTGCTTAACACAAGGAGAGCAGAGAAGGAACGCAGAGGCTTTCCCGGGCCACGGCGAGCCCCGGCCACGAATAGGTTCCCCGACATAGGTCGACGCTTGTGTCGGGCACGTCCTCCTACAGACAGCTTTGGAGCGACAGCTAAGAAATACGAAAACACTGTTTGTGATGTCGAAAAAGCGCGTTGAATTATCCCGGCAAAGCAACCTAACAGCGATGTGTAGGACGAGCATGTCTGGAAGCATTCCCCTTAAGATTAAGATGATAATCCAGTTGTAGAATTCTGCTGTTCTCGCAAGCGTAGTCGCATTCGCGATGGCAGTCGCAGTGGCAACGGCAGTCGCAGTCACAGCCTCAGCCTGCCTCAGCCTCAGCCTCAGCCTGCTTCAGCCTCAGCATCAGTCTGCCTTCAGCCTCGGCCTCAGCATGCCTCAGCCTCAGCCTGCATCAGCCTCAGCCTCAGCCTCAGCCTCAGCATCAGCCTGCCTCAGCATCAGCCTGCCTCAGCCTCAGCCTCAGCCTGCCTCTGCCTCAGCCTGCTTCAGCCTCAGCCTCAGTCTGCCGTCGGCCTCGGCCTCAGCCTCAGCCTGCCTCAGCCTCAGCCTGCATCAGCCTCAGCCTCAGCCTCAGCCTGCCTCAGCATCAGCCTGCCTCAGCCTCAGCCTCAGCCTGCCTCAGCCTCAGCCTCAGCCTGCTTCAGCCTCAGCCTCAGTCTGCCTTCAGCCTCGGCCTCAGCCTCAGCCTGCCTCAGCCTCAGCCTGCATCAGCCTCAGCCTCAGCCTCAGCCTGCCTCAGCATCAGCCTGCCTCAGCCTCAGCCTCAGCCTGCCTCAGCCTCAGCCTCAGCCTGCTTCAGCCTCAGCCTCAGTCTGCCTTCAGCCTCGGCCTCAGCCTCAGCCTGCCTCAGCCTCAGCCTGCATCAGCCTCAGCCTCAGCCTCAGCCTGCCTCAGCATCAGCCTGCCTCAGCCTCAGCCTCAGCCTGCCTCAGCCTCAGCCTCAGCCTGCTTCAGCCTCAGCCTCAGCCTCAGCCTCAGCCTCAGCCTCAGCCTCAGCCTCAGCCTGCCTCATCAGCCTCAGCCTCAGCCTCAGCCTCAGCCTCAGCCTCAGCCTCAGCCTGCTTCAGCCTCAGCCTCAGTCTCAGCCTCGGCCTCAGCCTCAGGCTGCCTCCTCACATCAGCCTCAGCCTCAGCCTCAGCCTGCCTCAGCCTGCCTCAGCCTCAGCCTCAGCCTCAGCCTCAGCCTGCTTCAGCCTCAGCCTCAGCCTCGGCCTCAGCCTCAGCCTGCCTCAGCCTCAGCCTGCATCAGCCTCAGCCTCAGCCTCAGCCTGCCTCAGCATCAGCCTGCCTCAGCCTCAGCCTCAGCCTGCCTCAGCCTCAGCCTCAGCCTGCTTCAGCCTCAGCCTCAGTCTGCCTTCAGCCTCGGCCTCAGCCTCAGCCTGCCTCAGCCTCAGCCTGCATCAGCCTCAGCCTCAGCCTCAGCCTGCCTCAGCATCAGCCTGCCTCAGCCTCAGCCTCAGCCTCAGCCTGCCTCAGCCTCAGCCTCAGCCTGCTTCAGCCTCAGCCTCAGTCTGCCTTCAGCCTCGGCCTCAGCCTCAGCCTGCCTCAGCCTCAGCCTGCCTCAGCCTCAGCCTCAGCCTCAGCCTGCCTCAGCCTCAGCCTCAGCCTGCCTCAGCCTCAGCCTGCCTCAGCCTCAGCCTCAGCCTGCCTTCAGCCTCAGCCTCAGTCTGCCTTCAGCCTCGGCCTCAGCCTCAGCCTGCCTCAGCCTCAGCCTGCATCAGCCTCAGCCTCAGCCTCAGCCTGCCTCAGCATCAGCCTGCCTCAGCCTCAGCCTCAGCCTGCCTCAGCCTCAGCCTCAGCCTGCTTCAGCCTCAGCCTCAGCCTCAGCCTGCCTCAGCCTCAGCCTGCCTCAGCCTCAGCCTCAGTCTGCCTTCAGCCTGCCTCAGCCTCAGCCTCAGCCTCCTGCATCAGCCTCAGCCTCAGCCTCAGCCTGCCTCAGCATCAGCCTGCCTCAGCCTCAGCCTCAGCCTGCCTCAGCCTCAGCCTCAGCCTGCTTCAGCCTCAGCCTCAGTCTGCCTTCAGCCTCGGCCTCAGCCTCAGCCTCAGCCTCAGCCTCAGCATCAGCCTGCCTCAGCATTCAAAATGTGGCCCGGGAATGGAGTTCTGGGAACTCGAAGAACACGAAGTGGCCTACAGTTGGCTCCGGGCATTCAAAATCATGCCCAGGAATGGAGTTCTGGGAACTCGAAGACCACGAAGTGGCCTACAAATGGCTCCGGGCATTCAGAATGTGGCCCGGGAATGGAGTTCTGGGACCTCGAAGACCACGAAGTGTGTAACTGCTGGCTACAACAAATTCCCCGGCACTTCCCCGGATCGCGCCCAGACCCCCATGGGGCGTCATGATGCTCTCTTTTGACCCTACTAGAAACCTATCAGTCTGCGCTGTTAGGTAAAAATATGTCGAAAATAATCACGCAGAAAACACAAACAATTAACCAGCTGCCGTTCCTTGCGTAGGCTCTACGTAAGGAACGGCCCGAAAACCAGAGCCCATGCTGAGCCCAAGGCGGCGGGGGGAAGGGCCGCCGAGGCGGCCGATGCGCCCTCCTCAGGCCAGGGCCGCCGCGCCTCGCTCTTCTCCGCGGCCGCCGGCGTCGGAGGTGGAGTGGCCACCTTCCAGCCCTCATCCTCCTCCTCGTTCTGCAAGTCTACTTCCTGCCACCAGTCCCCTCCTCCACCCCCCTCCTCCTCCTCCTCCTCCTCCTCCTCCTCCTCCTCCTCCTCCTCCTCCTCCCCTGCCTCATCCCTCCTCGTTCTTCCTTCCGTCCTCTTTGTCATCATCATTAGCGTTCCTCCTCAGCATCATCATCGCCACCACCATCACCATCATCATCATCATCATCATCATCATCATCATCATCATCATCATCATCATCATCATCATCATCATCATCATCATCGTCACCACCATCACCATCATCAGCAGCATCAGCATCAAAATTGGCATCAACATCATCATCCTCCTCACCATGATCATCATCATCAGCATCATCACTATCATCACAATGACTATCTTCATCACCATCATCATCGTCATCATCATCATCATCGTCATCGTCATCATCATCATGATCATCATCCTCATCAGCATCCTCCTTACGGTCAACACCATCATCATCATCATCATCATCATCATCATCCTCATCGTCGTCATCATTATCACCACCATCAGCATCATCATCACCATTACCAGCATCAATATCATCATCATCCTCATCCTCATCAGCATCCGCAACAGCAGCATCACCATCACCATCACCAGCACCATCATCATCAGCAGCAACAGCAACACCGTCATTATCATCATCGTCCTCCCCACCGTCATCATCAGCAGCAGCAGCATCAGCATCATCATCACCTTAATCGTCATCATCATCATCATCATCATCATCATCATCATCATCATCATCATCATCATCATCGTCAACAACACAATCATCATCAACATCATAATCACCGTCACCATCATCATCCCCACCATCATCGTCACCACCACCACTGCCATCGTCATCATCAGCAGCATCCGCATCATCATCATCACCATCAGCATAATCATCATCCTCCTCATCAGAAGCAGCATCACCACCACCACCACTATCATCATCATCATCATCATCATCATCATCATCATCATCATCATCATCATCATCATCATCTTCATCATCGACATCCTCATCATCACCATCATGGTCATCATCATCACCGGCATCACCATCACCATCATCAGCATCATGATCATCATATTCCTCACTGTCAGCATCGTCATCAGCATCACCGTAAGCATAATCAATCGAATGATCAACATCATCAGCACCATCATCACCAACATCACCATCATCCTCATCATCATCAATATCATCATCACCATCGTCTTCATCATCATCATCACCATCGTCGTCTTCATCATCATCATCATCATCATCATCATCATCATCATCATCCGCATCATCATCATCATCATCATCATCATCATCATCACCATCATCATCATCATCGTCATCGTCGTCGTCATCGTCATCACCAACATCATCTTCCGTCCTCGGCCACCTCCTCACGATGATCCTCCCGAACGGGTCCTGCCACCGCCTCAACTGCTCCGCCCCCGTTGTCCGCCTCATCCTCCCCCTGCCCCATCCCCTGCGCCCGACAATTACAATCAAAAACGATAGTAAGGACGCGCGATAAGAATGGAAGCCCCCTGGACGCCCATGTCGAAGCTTCTCGGGCGGGGCTGGCCATCGAGAGTGGTTAAGGATGGTCCGAAGAGGCAAGGATGCGAGGGTGCTCTTGGGAAAATTACCGATGACTATCATCGTTTTCAACTGTATGCTTATGTTGCTCCCATCCTACTTAAGGACCACATCCTAGAAATAATTTCGAGCACCCGGAAAAGTGTCAAAAGAGTGTCGAACCAGTGTCGGGCGAGTCTCCCAGGGCCTGACACGTGAAAACCCTTGAGCGTCGGTACTGTTTTGGGCGCCCGAAATTCTTTCTGGTGATCAAGGTTAAAGTAGGTTGGAGCATCATAACTGTATGCTGTCCCCTTTTCCACCGCATCGGGCACCTCATCGGGTTTCTTCTGGTTCGGCTTCTCTTGGGCTGATGCGCCGCACCCCATTCTGTGGCCGGCGCGGTGAACCTAACTGCTCTCGCCGGGCGTGTGCTCGCCCCGGACGTTGGCGCCCGACGTCTGTGCTCGGTCTTGAGCCGAAGGAAAATCACGAAAGCCGGGGCAGGAGCAAGGTAACTGGGAGCAGGAGGAGGTGGAGGGGGAACTGAGGAGGAGGAGGAGGAGGAGGAGGAGCTGAGATGAGGAGGTGGAGGAGGAGGTTGGGGCGAGCATGACCGTGCAACGTCAAAACAGAAGAGGAGGAGGAACCGCGAGTTGGGGGGGGGAGGAGGAGGAGGAGGAGGAGGAGGAGGAGGAGGAGGAGGAGGAGGAGGAGGAGGAGGAGGAGGAGGAGGAGGAAAAGGAGGAGGAGGAGGAGGAGGAGGATAAGGAGGAGGAGGACAAGGAGGAGGAGGGTCGCGGATGCTGGAACGGGCGGTCCCGAGCATCGGCGGCTCCAGTGGAGGCGGAGGTGGGGTCCGCAGAAACCGGCAAAAATCACGGCCCGAAACCGCGGCCCACCCGCGTGTCCCAGTGCTGGGCAAGGGAACCCCGACCGCGGCATGGGTCGCGCATAGTTGACACTGCGGCGGCGGCCGCATGTCCGCCTCCAGGCCAGCGAGGTCTGGAGGCGGTCTCGCACACCCAGCCTCGGGGCTCGACAGCGCCTCGAGCCCAGGTGGTGGTCGGAAACACCATGCTGGCGAAGCGTCCCCAGGAGCGGCGACCCAGTGAATGGCGCCGCCGACAGCCGGAAGCCCCACCAGCGCAGCGGTCGCGCACGGTCGGGTCGACGGCGGCACCAGAGCGCTGCCCGCCAGACCGTCGAAGCCCGAAGGAAAAGCAGCGGGCGTCGCCAGGGGCTCCAACCCTGCGGAGGGGCGGGGGCGCTGCGCACTGCGCCCTGGCCGCTGGCTCCGACAGGACCGGACGGCGCGCCCGCCGCGGCGCTCCAGCGATGACTACATCGGTTTCGGCTGGGTTCCGTCACCAGGCCAGGGGCCTCAAGACGGGGCGGTGGGGGAGTGCGGAAAGGCATGGGGTGGCAAGCGATCGCCAGCCTCCAAGCCCGCGAGGCCCAGAGGCGGACCCCCCCCGCCGGATCGTCAGCGGGGGCAGCACGCGGGCGGACCCAGCTTGCACAAGGCCTGAAGGCAGAACCGCAGCGGCGCGAGCGCACCCACTCGCGCCAGCAGGTAAGCGTTCGGCGTTCGGCGCAGTAGCGACGCCGAGGGGCAAAACGCCCTACCAGACCCCAGCGTTGAGCCTGCGTGGGAGAACGAAGTGGGGAGAACTCCTGCTCCCCCCCGCACCCGGAACTCGAGTTCTGCGCTCCCGCTGTAGCCAGAGCGCCGGTAGCTGCATCTTGGGTCGGCCTGCGAACGCCCGTGCGTGTGTCCCCGGACTGCGGGACATGAGAACGGCGCGGCTGCTGACATCCTTCTGTCAGGCGGTGCCGTGAGCTGTCTGCGTGGCGCGGAGCTGCGAGGGGCGATCGCGGCTGGCTTTGCGCAGAGCGATCTGCGTCTGAGGCGAGAGCTGGCACTGCGCCACGGTGCAAGGCGTGGCGCATTGGCGCGTGAGCTCCTCGTCCTCGTCCCCCTCTCCCTCGAATGAAAGGCCCCCGCTCCGCCGCTCCGAGGCCCGATGGGGGAGAGGCCAGGAGAAGGAGGAGGGAGCTTTTCGGCGGCAAAGGAGCGGCAGGCGCCATCGGCAGCCGAGCCTACAGACTGGAGCCCTGGAGCCGGCGCCGCCCGACGGACCGCTGCGAGCGGGGCCAGAAGAGCCCCTGCGCCATGCAGGGCCCGAAGAGCCACTGCGAGCGGGGCCCGGCAGGGCACCCGGGGTAGGGGCTGGCAAGGGCCAGCTACCCCCGCCGACTGCTGAAGAGCAAGCAGACAGCAGACGGAGCAGGCAGGGCTCGAGGCCGCGCCCAGCAGAGGGCCACGAGGGCCTCCCCCACCAAAACCGACCGACGCCCCCAGCGACCGGTCGTGCCCACGAGGGGCGCTGCGGAAGTAGGCGAACACCCGCGACGCAGACGAACTGGTCCTGGGCGGGCTCGCCCGCGGGGCAACCCCTGGGCGCGCGCGCCGCGGACGGGGGCCGGCCGCGGGCGGTGCGCCGGCCACCTGGGGCCGAAACACTGCAAAAGCCGTAGAGGGCGAGTCGCAGAGAATATGAGGAGCAGGAGGAGGAGGAGGAGGAGGAGGAGGAGGAGGAGGAGGAGGAGGAGGAGGAGGAGGAGGAGGAGAAGGAGGAGGAGAAGGAGGAGGAGGAGGAGGAGGAGGAGGAGGAGGAGGAGGAGGGAGGAGGAGGAGGAGGAGGAGGCGGAGGAGCAGGAGGAGGAGCAGGAGGAGGAGGAGGAGGAGGAGGAGGAGGACAAGGAGGAGGAGGAGGAGGAGGAGGAGGAGGAGAAGGAGGAGGAGGAGGAGAACGAGGAGGAGAACGAGGAGGAGAACGAGGAGGAGAACGAGGAGGAGAACGAGGAGGAGAACGAGGAGGAGAAGAAGAAGAAGAAGAAGAAGGCAAGGTCAGGCTAGCCAGCTTGGGCCAAGGCCTCACTCTCCGCCGCATCCACCGCCACCCTGCCCCCCAAAAGCGAGCGCCAGTGCCAACACGACTCATTCGAGTAGGGGATCGACTACAGAACTGATGCACCCCAAAGTTAACTTTCCCGCAACATCTACAAGCAATACATCGAACGTTCCTCGGATCTACGGAGGTGTCTTTGTAATTTCAACACGCTCGACGGTAAGGTAAATCTCGGGGTAGACCAATTATGTAGTCGATCCCCTACTCGAGTAATGCATGGGAATGGCGAAGTCTCCCAAACATTGCGAATTGAACGAGTTCGCTCGCGTGCCGCCAACGTTCCGAGCCCATGCGGGGGTGCGACCTGCACAAAGACACAGGGCGAGGCGAAGCCATATCTGAACAACATGTTGCAGTGTACTGGTGGCCGTTGCTGCGGTGGGCCTGCGCAGAGGACCTCCAGCAGGGGGCCAACCACAAACGAGCGCTGGAACAGTGGGCGGCGACAATACCGTGCCGTGATGAAAGATTTCCCCAGTTTGACAGGTCGGCACAGGTGCCAATACGAGCACACGTCTCTAGTCGCCCCGCTAGGAACGTGGAACCTGGTACAATGTTACGGGGGAGGTGCTTCGCAACCAGGGCCGAGGGCAATGTCAAGCTAAACGGGATGGCGGTTCGAAAACGGCAGACCGCGTGGGACATCCTCTTTAGACGGTTCGAACTTGGTTCGAAACAATAGGATCTGGTTCGAAAAAACAGCAAAACGAGGGTTTCGCGAAGAGCTTCCTCCGAAATCAGGCGTCACACCCGGTTCGAAACAAAAGGATGGCGGTTCGAAAACGGCAAACCCGCGTGGGACATCCCTGTAAAACTTGCTCGATTGACGGTTCCAAAACGGTTCGAAACAATAGAAGTCGGTTCCAAATAATTGGGAAACGAGCATTTCGCTTGAGACTTCCTTCAACATGCGATTGGAACCTGATTCCACACAATGGGATGGCGGTTCGAAAATGCCAAACCGCGTGGGACCTCCTCGCCAAAATGGCTTTCTTGACGGTTCTGAAACTGTTCCCAACAGTAGAAGCCGGCTCCGAACACTTGGAAAACAAGCGTTTCGCTTAAGACGTCCTTGAGAATACGCTTGGAACCTGACCCCAATCAGGTCCCAAACAAAATAATCGCGCGGGACATCCCCTGCAAAATGGCGTGCGCCCCGTTCCAAACAACGACGGCCGCGACGACGACGACGACCACGAGGACGACCACGACGAGATGTGTTCTCGCCTCGCCGCCGGCCACGCTTGGCCGCGTCTCGGTCTGGCCGACCGCTCTCCCATCAGCAAGGCGAGGCCCCCCGGACGGCGCTTCCCCCCCTCGCGAGAGGGACGTGCCAGAGGAAAACAACGCCACCCTTCCATAGGGGACATACTGCTGTCACCCCCAAACACGGACATTTAGGAGCCAAACCGCCCGTCAGGGCTACTTTTTGCTTGTGTCACTGATTGAGGCCTGGTCCTATGGAACGCTAATATGTGTTGAATCAGTTTCCCTTCTTCCGTTGTTTGCCAAGTCGTGTTTTCTTCTTGGTTTGACCCCCGGCTCCGAGGCCCCATCCAGCAGTAAAAACACGGCCTTGTAGCAGTGAGTGCGCATGTGGTCGCAACAGTCTGGGCTCCTGTCGCAAATCCAATGCCAATGCGTCCAATTTACCGCCGCTGCAACTTTTGGGACAAGTTGGAGGGAGGCGGGGGGGAAGGATGAGGGAGGAGCCTGCATCGACGAACTTTCGGCTTACTGGTCTCGTTGTGCTCTGCATACTTGAGCTGCTTGCCAGCAGTGGTGTTCACTGGTGCAATGTGGCGCTCACGAGCGGCTGGGCGCGCACAATCACTGTTGTGTTCAGGCGTTGCTGGACTCGGGTGCAGTCGGGGCGTTGACCTAAGGAACCCTAAATAAGGAACGAGGCCCCTTGTTCCCATAAGTTGAACTTCGACTTCCCATGGAAGACGAAAGGAAACCCCAAGGCAAACTGTACAAAAATCAAGGAAGACCGAGCCCCTCCCCAATGAAAAGGGTTCCTTCTTCAGCGCCCTGGCTGTAGTGCTGATCCGGCTCCGAGGCCCAAGCCAGCAGTCGAAGCATTGCCTCCTAGCAGAATGTGTGCGTGTAGTCGTAACAACCTCGACTCCGATCGCACACCCAATTGAGCAAATCATCCGGTTTGTCCTTGCTGCAACTTTCGAAAAAAGTTGGAGGGAGGCGGGGTGGAAGGATGAGGGGGGAGCGTGCATCGATCGATTTTCAGGGTTTATCGATATTGCTGTGCTCGGCGTGCCTGGTGTTCACTGGCATTGTGGCGCTCACAGGCGGCAGCGTGCTCACAGTCACAGTGGTGCCCAGGCGTTGCTGGACTCAGATAGCATTTATCCGGCGCAGGCCGGATCCAAGCGGTAAATAACGACTCTCTTGGAAGAAATGCGCGTGTGGTCGCGTCCATCTCGATTCCTATCGCAAATCCAATGAAAATTCATCCAGCTTGCCCTCGCTGCAACTTTTGGGGCC